GTCACAGAATTTTCTAATTTTATTCTGTTGTTTGGTATCATTTACCATAAGAAAGAACCTGATTGACAAAGTTCTTTTTGTTTGATATTTATAGAAATCTGTGGTGCAACTATATAAGACATTTGATATTATTAATGTGACTTAAATAGGAATAGAATGTCCATTAAAAAGAATTATCCCAATAGTGGTCCTAAATATCAGCCACAATCAATGAGAACTGTATTGATTATCAAGTATGTCCAACTACAGAATCCAGATCCAAAGAGAAAAATGAATAGAAAAGCCCTAAAAAATAATGCAATTAAAATGGGATTGCAGAATGTGTTTTAAAATACGCTCATAAAATGTGTTCATTTAAAATTGAAACAAAAAATTGTATGTAGATACAGTTTTATAAAGTATAATTCAGAAACATCCTGCATCTGAGTCATCACTCCTGTCACTTAACATCCCCCTGGCTAGTGTAACCCTGGCTGCAGGAAACACTCGAGATTCTGAATTAGAGTGGCACTTAAGTATCAATATATAAAACAAAACAAACCAACCAAACTTTCAATAAGCATTTCTAACATGCAATCAGTGTTAAAAATCACACTGAGTGTATACATTCTTGGGCAGCAGCGACTCACCAACTTTGCATCTTCTCGTCTTCATATCCTCAACACTGTACAAAGTCTCCTTCACAATATTTCTGAAGAGCAATTTTTAATTTTCTCATCTGGATTTGTCCCGTCTACCTCACCCCTGCCTTGGGCACCCTCCTTTGTCCCCCGCACTTTGGGGACTGCACTGCTAGTCAGGATGTTAAACTTCAGAACCCTGAGAGTAATTGTTTCTCCCCCAACTTTTTTTTTTTTTAAATATAACCGGTGAATCATAAAGTCTTCTCCTTTTTTTCTTCTAAATATTTCAAAGATCAGTTCACTTTTCTCTGTCTACCTTCCTACCAGTCAACAAAAGTTTCACACCTCGATGGTAGGCTCCTAAGTGGTCTCCTTATCTGTAGGTGTTCTTCTATCAGTAACACATTTCACCCAGAGTGGTTGTCCGAAGATGTAAATATGATGATACTGTTCTCTGCCTAAAACTCTTCAGTGGCTTTCACTTACTTAAATACCCAATGTGATTCGGAGAGAGTTTCAGGCCCTGGTTCTTCATCTCTCCAGCGGCATCTTCCACTTCATCTTCAGTCACCCACCCCTCCAGCCAGACTTAACTGTCACATTGAGCTACTTTCAGTTCCCTGGATGCATCTCTTTTCATACACTCTTCTCTATTTCTTACAGTATTGCGTCCTCCTTCCTTCAGCTTAAGATCATGGCAGCCTTCTCTGACCAGCCTAGTCTTGCTAGGTTACTTTTCTGTAATCTCCTATAATATGTATTTCCTACAGAATAGCACTCATCTCACTATTGTAAATGTTTATTATATTTCAATACTCTCAGCCAGTAGTGCCTCAAGGAAAGGAATTATTTTTATCTTGTATAAAGGGTTCACATCTAACACTTCAGTGGAATAAAGAATAAATGCATGTTTCATGGAGTACACATGGATACAAAGAAGAGAATAACAGGCAGTGGGCTCTACTTGATGGTGGAGGGTAAGAGGAGGAAAGGATTGAAAAACTACCTATCAGGTACATGTTTGTTACCTGGGTAATGAAATAATCTGTAAAACAAACCCCTGTGACATGCAACTTACCTATACAACAAACCTGCGCATATACCCCTGGACCTAAAAGTTAAAAAATAAAAATTAAAAAAAATTAAATTACACATTAATGGTTACAGTGATATAGTTTGAAGATTTGTCACCTCCAAATGTCATGTTGATTTGTAGTCCCCAGTGTCCGAGATCACGTCTGCTGGGAGGTGTTTGAGTCATGGGGGCTGATCCTTCATGAATGGTTTGGTACCCTCCTCATGGTAATAAGCGAATTTTTGCTCTATTAGTTCATGCGAGAGCTGGTTGTTTAAAAGAGCCTAGCATCTCTCTTTCTTGCTTTCTCTTGCCATGTGACATGCCTGCTCACCCTCTGCCTTCTGCCATGATTGAGCAGATGCAGATGCTGGTGCTATGCTTATTGTACAGTATGCAGAACCATGAGCCAAAATAAACATCTTTTCTTTATAAAAGACCCAGACTCAGGTATTCCTTTATACAACACAAAAAGACTGATACATGTAGATAATTAGGATCTTTAGCGCTTCAGCCCAAAATGAAGATTGTACTAGGAAGATGACTGTCATGATAACAATCCATAATAATGTATGGCATTGATGAGTGATAACAGTGCTGGGCTCTATGCTAGGTTATTTACATTGATTTTATCACTTAATCATGGCAATCCTTCAATGTAGTTACTGTTATTTTTATTTTAGAGATGAGGAAACTGAAACTTTTAGATGTTACATAACTTGTCCATGGTCCCATAGCTAGTAAGTGGTTAAGTCAGGTTTTAAATCGAAGCAAGGAATTCCAGTGACCACGTGGCTACACTGCCTTCACAATGTGGACTAGGGTAGTATTATAGTTCCTGGATTAAGAAATTTTACAGGTCATTATAATTATAAAATATAAAAGGGAGGGTAACAGAGGTAATGACAACTAACATGAGTTTGCTCTTTATTTTGCTGTTTACAATAGTTATAATCAATGATGCCAGACTTTCACAAAACATCATTTTTCCTTAAACAATTAGGGGAAATAAGAATATCTGGAAAAGGGAATTCCTCCTAATACAGAAAATTGCCAACATTGCTTGCATTTTACTCCAACCTATACATACATTGTCCTTATATCAATATGTTGGATAGCTGGTGTCTGGAATCATTGTCTCTAGGGAAGTTACTAACAGCCAACTCGGGTTCCTAGTCCAGTTTTGACAAAAGGAGCTGGTGGCCTTGGACACGATTTAACTCCTCTGGGCTGCTTCATGTGAAAAGAGAGCACTTAGAACTGCATAAGCTCTCTGTCTTAGAATCCATTAGCTATTTTTTTAAACCTTGAGTATTTTTTTTTTCATGGAAACTTCATCCTACAGTATAAGAAATGTTTTAAATCATTCATCCTTACCATATAAAGTTCATGATAAACTTATTTTTTAGATTAAAAAAAAAGTTTCAAATGACCCAAAACTATTACATAATAAATCATTTGGGGGAAAATTCTACACATCTAAGAAAAGCCAAACTTTGACAAAATTTCATGAGTATACATTTTTAACATATTAATAACTAAAGTATACAGTCTGATATTTGGGTCCAGGTTTTTATTTTATGCAAAAACTTCCTGAACTTTCATAATAAATGCATTAAGCATTTATTAAATGTGGCACATTTGACAACCGGCATATGCTGAGTTTGTTCATTTTTTCTTATAGTCATAGCTATGAACCTACTTTAATGTGACATACTTACTAAATTGGGCAAGTTATATTCTTTTCCAATTATGGTAGTGATATTAAATTTTCTTCTCAAATACATTTTTAAACAGTTCATTTATTAAATATAAAACAGCATTGTTGAGTTGTATAGCAATTTATAAGAAAGTATATAGGTGCTCTGGTGGGTAACTCCACTTTGAGATATAAAACATTTAGGAATTTAGAAATGTCCAAGAATTTGAATTTATTAGGACTTCATACCAGTAATTAAAAATTTTCAGCAGTAGTGAAAACTGGTGGTCAGAGGTAATGTGTCTTACAGATCTAAAATTCTAAGGCCAACTTGAATATAATGCAAAGAGAAAAGACTACCAATATATGTCTATGGATATACAAATGAATAATTCTAGTTTTATAAATCTAGGAAGTAATAGGGTTAATGGGCGGGGGTGGATGTTTGATTGTTCAGTTTGTTTTAGGTAGAGGTGTTCCAAATGACTTTAGACCAGAGGGAAAGAAGCCTGTTGAGAAGGGGGATGGAATATCCTTGAGAAAGAAGAACCGATGAAGCAAGGTCCCAAGAGAAGAGGCAGGAGTGGGATCAAAATGATTGATAGAGGAAATGAAGGTCTCTGGGGAATGAGAAAATTAAAGAGAGAAATTGGTATAGAATGAATCCAGATGTTCAAAAAACAAACGAAATCTACCTTACACTTTTGTGTAGGTTTTTTTTCCTGTTAAAATGTCTTTATCAGACATGGGGGTCAGATTTTCCAGTAATCACCATCATGGGTACCCACATACTACAGTCCACCCATACGTAGGTATTTTTCAGATTCTCCAGATACAAAAAAGATGAGTAGGCCTATATTCTACTAGATTCCATACAATATCAGGCTTATCAATTTATCAGGTAAGCATGGAAAGGCAGGTCATAAGCTGGCATAAGTGTAAAAGGAAACTAATAGGGTTTTTAGGGAAAATTCTTTATACTTCATTGCCTCAGCTACTGTTCAAATGTTAGATGCATAGAAGATAAGCACATTTCAGATACTCTAACTTGTTTCTTTTAACCTACTTTCCTGAGGTCTTTAAAGAAACATGGCAACATTTTTGCCTAGGGAACTTTTTTTTGTAAAAGAAGTCCAAAGTCTGATTAAGTACATTCCTAAATGCCTTGATAGAGAAGGCAAGTTAGAAGGTTAGACTTAAGTAAAGGTGTTGTGAGTGAATTGACAGTCGTCCCTCTGTGTGTGTCGGGGAGTGGTTTCAGGATGCCCACATGTATCAAAAGTCTGGAAACTGGCCCCGCAGAATCTGGGTACAGAGAAAGTAGGCCCCTGGTATATGTGGGTTTTCCATTTTGTAAATACTGTATTTTCAATCTGCATTTGGTTGAAAAAAATCCATATAAGTAGATCCATGCAGTTCAAACATATATTGTTCAAGGATTCACTGTATTTGTGTGAGTTGAGGTTTGTAATTGTAAAAGCACTATTTAAGCCCAACTTTTATCTCCACAATCCAGAATTCTCTCTTAAAATATATTTATGACAGAGCCATCTGTCTCTTCCAACTGGATCTTTAAAAAAGCAGAAAACCCAAACCACGTGGAGACTTTAAATGATAAACTTTTATTCTGAATATACTGTTTTTGCACAAGATTTAACACAACATTTTCTGGGATTATAAATATTTTATAACAGTATTATACAAATTTTTACAAAATGTTTTTATCAGGCTAGATAATTTTCACAAAAGTGTCAAGAGAACAAAATAAAGGGGAGAAAAAATCTATTGTTCACAAAAGCCAGTTGGCCTTTTGCATGAATGCACACCATTTTAATAAAAGTATTCCTAAAAGCATGATCTGACACTCACACAACACAACAAAAAGACAGCTTGACTAGGTCACATTATAAACTGAATTGGCATCTACACAAGACAGTATCCCATTCGTTTCAGTGGAATTTCTTTGAGATAACTGTGTGAACTAGAAATAAGGTAGATGAAACTATTGGTAAGGGTTGTTTAATTCTTTAAAAATCTGGAATTTTTTCAACACTCAATATATTGTATTGGTTTGCTCTTCACAGAAATATACTGTGAATATTAACATTCTGCTATGGGAAACAATACAAGTTTAGATGAAAAAATATTTAAAATTTTGGGCAAGTGAAATAGTCATTCCATTCTATTCTTTTAAAAAAGTCACAACATCCATTTTGTTTCACTAGGTCAGACTATACCATTAAACATTTTAACGTCTAACATGATCAGTGGAATAGATCCAGAGTTTTAAATTAAGACAAAATTTAAGCTTTGTTGGTCACAGACAGAGATTTAAATGAGATTTAAAATACAAGAGAGCATCAAATAAGCAAGTAACACTTGGGTTGCAAAGGTCACTTAAAAGGGATACTGCCTATTTGAACCCCATAAGGCCAGTTTTAAAGTTAATAAAAGGAATATTATAGGAAAACTTACAAATGGCAGCAACACTGGTTTTTTTTCCCCCAAGTTAAGCAGTAATGCCTCAAGCATTAGAAACATGAAAAAAGATCATACTAAAATCTTATAGGCCCAGGACCTAAAAATCTCTTCAATCAAACTTGCTAACTATGTCATGTTAAAAACCTGTTACAAATATGGACCACGGTTGGTGTTTGGCAGTAATGCTGGTTGTTTAAATGAGGAAAATATAAAGAAATCATTAATGCAAAATTCTTTCTTGTTACTCAACACCATCGCCAAGCTTACTTGAATTCTGTTTTAGTGACTAACTACATTAAGCCACATGAGGATAACAAAAATTAAATAGTAAAAGCAGTGTATAAATTTTTTTATTGATCTTTTATACTGTTCAGTCGTTGGAAATAAATATTAATAACAGGCTATAATTTAAGTTCTTGTCAACATAACTCACAGAAAAATACTAAATGTAATATAATAATTTGATGGGATGAGTGTTACTGTCTTAAAGAAAAGTATGCTAAAAGCATGAAGACTAATATTAGTCATGGGAACAATTTTTAATCAGCTTGTTCTTACCCAATTTATAATTGTATTTGTCAATTTGTCAATAATATATAACTCTACAGCAGAAAATAAAGGTTTATAGCAAAACTCATGCATATAAATATATTTTGATGGCAAAAGAAATCAAATAGGATCCTGCCAAGAGATGCCAAGTTTAACTGCGATTAATACAATAACAGTGTAATTGATGAAAACATATAATCGACATTAGCCATGAAAATATATTTAATAGATTTTGAACATAATTTTAAGGTAGTTTGTTGTATGCTGGAAGCAATTCAATTGTTTTAATGTGCATTGTTTATATACACAAACTAACAATTTTATATTTTGATACCCCCTTCCCAACACTATCATGATTTAAGATAGTCTAGCAAAAATTGAACAATGACTTTTAAATATTGAACAAACAACATGATTTAAACGTTGTTACTAGAGTGAGAAGTTTTTTTCCACATATATTTTAAATCACTTTGGTGTTTTCTAAAATGTCAATACCAGTTATGAATGACACTACAAAATCACAACAATGCATTAGAAATGGTAACTGATGTCAACTCTTAGAACAATAGTTGGCAAAGTGATTCCATTTCCCCCTCCCCCCTTTTTACTGAAAAAAAAAATCTTAAATAAAGAAATGTACACAAATGGTACCTAAGGTATATTGGTGGTGGGAGGGAATTACAAATGTATGCAAAGCTAAAAACAAAACAAATATTATCTTTTAAACTACGTTAAATTATTGGTTATATCTTTGATATGTGGAGCATATTAAAGCATGCTGGATAATGTTAATAACTTTGACTTAAAAAGGATATGTAAGAAAATTTCCAGCATATACACATACCTTTAATTGGCATGTTCCAAAAAAAGAAAAACTGCATTTTATCATAAAAAATATCTACATACGTTCAGCCTTCAGTAAAATTATTAACTATTCTTAGAATTACACATTCATAGTTTTTACCCTTTCTTCAAATACTGTTTGCTCCAGAAAATAATTTTTAAAAGCATAAATAATCTGCTACCGTATTAGTCTATAATGAAATATCTGATTTACTACACTAACCATTTTCACCAATGAGGCTGTATAAAAAACAACTTTTATTATTCACAATCAAGTATTCATGTGCATACATAGAGATTCAAGGTTTCCTATTTGTTCAGATTATTGTAAAACCCTTATCAAATTGCATGGAAATTTTGGTCAAACGATCATACCATTTAAAATGGAAGGGCAAAAGCAGCAGTAGCAGGAACTTTTGGATTGTATGTGCTACCATTGAAACGAACAAAGAGGAAACCTAGGATGAATCTTCATTGAGAACATATATGTACTTTTCAAAAAATAAATGTGTCAAATCTGATTTATGTACTTAAAATATCTGTACATAGGTTATCAGGCGAAAGCACGAATCTGTATAAAATTCATTAATTCTCATTTCACCATTTATCTAACCCCAATCATTCAGCATTTACATTGCACAGTATATTCAGAGTAGTTTAACAACATTTTAAAAGATGACTTAAGTGCATTTACACTGCAAGGTTCAGATTCTTACATAACAATAATATCACTCAGTTAACTTTTCAATGACTACACTCTACAGTAAGAGAAAAAAGAACTGAAAAGTTAAAATAGCAGCAGCATCATGCAAAATACCCTTGGTAAACCAAAGTTCATTTATCACAAGAAAAACATTTCCCCCTCCCCCCAACAAGCTTTTCTTAGAGCATTTTTAAATATCTGGCTAGCACTACATTACTGTGAACAAAAGAAACATTACATCAAAGCACTTATTAAGGGCTTGCTTACATTTATAAGGAAATATGTCACATATTCTAATTTCTCCCTCAAGCACCTTTAGTTTAATAATTTCTTAGGTACTATTTTCAAACCATCAGTTCATTACTCCATCAAAATTTAATTGGTCATCAATTGTGTTTTATTTTTGGCAAAGAAGCCATTCTTCATAAGGCATTTGATTCATGGCAAATTTTTCATAGAAAATTAGCCATTATTTGTGTTTCAACAATTTAGACCAATGTTAATTCTTTCTCTATACATTTCAATAATTTATACTCAAAGCAGGAATTAAGTTTTAACAGAAGAATAAGTGAAGGCAAAAATAATTTCTTTCCCCTTAGAGATTTTCTTAGTAAAACTGCAACAAGTCAAAATTCCAGGTCAATATCAAGACATTTCTTATGATTCATAAACAATTGTATGGGGAACCCTTTCACATGTAATCACCAACAATGCAACAACAAACTCCCAAATTTTCCAATAGAGGACACGTATAGGATTTTGCTTTGATGTTATACATAGATGATGCAGCATTCACACACGTTTAAGGATCTGACACCCTGACATGCAGCCAGTGGGTGCCTTAGGAGTCTGCGCCTTAGTGTTATGCCATGGTATAGGCCCAGGTAATATCTGTCTGATTTTATAGCTGACCCTACTTTAATGTAATTGAGGGCTCATGTTCTGGCAGGGTCTGGAGTTTAATTATGCAGATTTGGTTTCAGAAGGTCACAACAGGCGGTGTCTGCTGCCAGATACCAGCCAAAGTAGTAGAAACTGGATTCCGAAGATATACCACAGGGAGGGATTTAATCCAGAAACACCACCACAGTCAGTATAATCCTCCTGTTGTAAAAAATAAATAAATAAAATAAAAATAAAAATAAAAATCTTGAAAAATCTTTAGTAACACATCTTTTAGAGTAATCCATATTTACTTCACTTCTGAACTTACCTTATAAAATTGCTTTAACTGAAATCCAAATAAATTACTTTCTCCTGGATTTTATCATTGAGGAATTTTGGTTAAAGCAACTTCCCTAGCATCATTTGACAAATGCTTTAAATTTTTAGTTGTAGATTTTTATGATTATGAAAGAAAATAATAAATGCTGTTTGAATAATAATTTTAAAGTAAAAACTTTCATAGTATCAAAAATCCTATATATTTATAAATACAAGAAGTGTAAAATTTAATAGGTTTTATAATTCCCAAGAATTATGATTTTTAGCAACTATGCTCCATATGGGAAAGTTTGGGACTGATAAATACATTTCCATTTCCCATGTTTCTTACACAGTTTCTAAGGTTCAACATAGCGTGCAATCATAGCATCTGGACCTTCATTAAGAATTAAAGTAAAATGAAGAATAATGTATTTGAACCATAAACAATGAAAGGACACGGAAAATACATATCCAAAATAAAGAGCTAAGCTAGGAAGAGATTTGTCTTGAGACAATGAAGAAATATTAGAATGAATGTACTCACATTAACTCCCCACGGTGTAGTGGTAGCTCATTTAGTTCCCTCTTAATGCAAAAGTATTATTCATCTTTTATTCCTAGGTTCTATATTTGATAACAATTTCCACATCCTTTAATTCCTTTTAACATAGTGAATTTCATTTTTAAAAACCTCATATTTATTTTTTATTTAATTTCAATAGTTTTTGGGGAACAGGTGGTTTTTGGTTACATGGATAAGTTCTTTAGTGGTGATTTCTGAGATTTTGGTGCACCTGTCACCCAAGCAGTGTACAATGCACCCAATGTATGTAGTCTTTTATCCCTTTCCCCTCTTCCTCCTGAGTCCCCAAAGTCCATTATATCATTCTTATGCCTCTGCATCCTCATAGTTTAGCTCCCACTTAGAAGTGAGAACATACAATATTTGGTTTTCCATTCATGAGTTACTTAGAAAAATGGTTTCCAACTCCATGTAGGTTGCTGCAAATGCCACTATTTCATTCCTTTTTATGGGTGAGTTGTATTCCATGTTGTATATATACCACATTTTCTTTACCTACTCATTGGCTGATGGACATTTAGGTTGGCTCCACATTTTTGTAATTTTGAATTGTGCTGCTATAAACATACATGCGCAAGTGTCTTTTTCATAAAATGACTACTTTTCCTCAGGGTAGATACACAGCAGTGAGACTGCTGGATCAAATGGTAGTTCTACTTTTCGTTCTTTAAGGAATCACCATACTGTTTTCCATAGTGGTTGTATAAGTTTACATTCCCACCAGAAGTGTAAAAATTGTTCCTTTTTTTTTTTTTTTTTTTTTACCACATCCATGCCAACATCTATTTTTTGATTATGGCCATTCACGCAGGAGTAAGGTGGAATCACATTGTGGTATTAACATGCATTTCCCTGATAATTAGTGATGTTGAGCAATGTTTCATATGTTTTGGCCATTTCTATATCATTTTTTAAAAATTGTCTATTCATGTTTTTTTGCCCACTTTCTGATGGGATTATTTGAAAGACCATATATTTAAACATCTTTAAAGAATCTAATCCAAGGTAGATGTTCTAATAATCAAAATAATAGGTTGAATAATTTTACAAAGATTCTAAGTTCCCAAAGAATAAGAACTTTGACTATTTTCATTCACCAGGATTTAATACAGTGCTGCCACATAGTAAATATATAAAAATTATTTCTTTAATTGTATTTTAAGGCAGCAGAACTATTTTGTTTGTTAAGAAGAAAGAAAGCTGGGAGAAAAGAATCTATGAAAATAATTTTGGTTTTAATCAATTTACCTCCCAAATCTAAACAATCATAAAATAATCAATTATTAGTCTTTATCCTATTTGACCTTTCAGAAGCATTTGACAAATATATAACATTGTCTCCTTGAAATACGTTCTTGTGTATCTTTGGCTAACCCACTCTTCTGGTTTTTCTGGAAACTTGTTTGTGTATTTCTCCTTGGCTTGACCTCCTTTTCTTCATGCTGTCTACAATGTTAGACTTTTCCAGGTGTTACTTCTCTCTCCTTTCTTCTTTTTCCTTTACACTTTGTTCCTAGATGATCTAATCTAGTCCTACAGCTTTAAATTTCATCCATTTCCAAATAACTTGCTCTTTTATATGTTCAATCCTGTATTCTCCTCTGGTCTCTGAATTCATTGATCTCTACTTTCTCCTCTTGTATAGGGATTTGAAACTTGACTTGCCCCTAATATAATTCTTCTGGTATCAGTAAATAGCACTTTTAGAGTAGCAGATAAGGCCAAAGACTACAAGTAATGTACGATCCTCTTTTTTTCTCAAATCTAATCCTTTTTTTTTTTTTTTTTTTTTTTTTTTTGAGATAGGGTCTCACTCTGTCACTCAGGCTGGAGTGCAATGATCTTGACCTCCCTGGGCTCAGGTGATCCTCCCACCTCAGCCTCCCGAGTAGCTGGGACTATAATAGGTGTGCATCACCACACCTAATTTTTTATATTTTTTTGCAGAGTTGGGGTTTCAGCTGGGAATCCATCCTCTAACTCTAGCTTCAAAATACATCCCCAACCTACTGCTTGTCACTACTGCAGGTCCAAGTCACCATTACTTCTTCCTTCCGTTTTGCAAAAGCTGCCTCACTTGTCCCATGGCTTCTACTCTGCCCTTTTGCAAATGCTTCTCCAAAAAGCAGTCTTCTTAACACCACACATTCTTTCACTCCCTGCTCAACATTTCTCATCATTCTCAGAGCAAAATCTACATTCTTTATTAAGGTCTACAAAGTCTTATGAGGTCTGGAGCCTGGCTGCCTCGTCTTCCCACTTTTTCCTCTCCCACATACTCACTCTGCTTCAATAACACTGGCTTCCTCTGCAACAGGCCAAGCTCTTTAGTGCCTTTGCATTTGTTTTGTTCAGATGCTTTTCTCTCCAGGTAGGGTAACCAGATAAAAAACAGGGTACCAGTAATAATTGAATATGAGATAAAAAATACTTTATATAAATGTATTTTACACACAGAAGAGTGGCTAGATACATAGTAACGATTTGATAAATGAATAGTAGGTACTCAATAAAGCAGCACACACTGACTGGTTAGAAACACTATGAGGTATTAACTTAAAGAAGTTATTGTCACTTAACCAGGAGTACTCCCCAGTTATGATTAAGTGTTAATTTGAATAAAAATTACCACACAACAAAACCCATTTGTGTATTAAGAATATATTTTGTCATCTTTATAATCTACAAATGTGTTACGGAAAGAAAAATATTCTCTTTGGCCCTTCTTTCAGTGTTTTTATTTTTATATTTGGGTGTTTTTTGTTTCACTTCCTCTGTGTGATGACGAGATATATCTGTTTCGATGGGAGGTGGTAGTTTAGATAAGTTATTGGGGCTCCCTGTAGTCTGCATGTCAATTCACACTGAAAAATGTGCCTTTTAAGTTTCCTGATCATGTCTTCCCATACATTTTGCATGGTGCAACTCCATGTAATGTATTTCATAGAATCATTTCAAGTCTTATTATGGGATACATTCTAAATCACAAATGCCCTGATGTGGGAGCAACCCAGCATTATCTCCGTCCTATAGAGACTGAAATCCCACTGACACCATGACCAGATATAATAAATCGGTCTGATTTTTAAACGATTATTTAAGTAGAAAACAACATATTGGTACTTTAAGTTTAGAACATTAAAATGGAAGAAGAATCAGTGCCAATATTATATATTTATTTTAAAATATGATAAAACTAATTTTATTAGACTTCCTTATAGGGGAACGTCTCTTAAAAGATTGTGTTGTTAAAGATATCAACTGAGACTCTTTAGTCCTTTCTTTCTCATTACTCTTTAAAAAATCTAAACCATAGTAAAATTCATATGGTATTTGCCCCCAAAGTTTTCTTTATACAGCATGTGTTACCAGTGACTAAAATCTTTTGAATTTACTGTTGCTAAACTCTTACTCTGCTTTTCTTTCCCCATTCAGAACCTGGGACAACTAATGGCATACAGGACAAGCTTAATAATTTTTAATTATTAAATTTAGAAATACATTTTTCAAAAGAAAATGTTCTGGTCATTTGGATAAAAGGTTTTTGATCTTTTTTTTTTTCTGAATTATAGCCATCATTTAATTTCCTTCAAAATGCAAATCACTGTTGAAGACAGCCATCAAATCATGGATTAACTTTTGAATTCAGGTAAGTCTGTACTAAAGTTACCACCAGCAACTTCAAAGAAAATCTATATTTAAAAATTTTTTAGGCAGGTAGATACTGCATAGTAATAGGAATAATGCCCCCAGCAAATAATTTGTTCTCCTACATGGCACCTTAACACTCTTACACATTACAGAGATAGGCAGTATATTTATTCAACTCTTTAAATGTAGGCAGATTATGTACCCAATAATATGCTTTATAAATTGGGTTTGCATAAAATAATTTCTCAATGGACAGAATTGGCTTGCCTTACTTCTTTGATTAATAAATGTTAGCTTTTTCATTTGCTTTTGTACTTGTGTGTGACTTGAGTCTTCACAAAGCTTGTTATCAAAAAGTCTTGTTTGAACACTTGAATTCTGATGAAGTCGTCATGGTATGGAGCTTCATAATTGTTTATGTATAATCTTTATCCTTCTGGAATCTACAGGATTAATGGCCCTTTGGTAGGCTTTGGAGATTACACTACCATTCTACCTTGCTTGTGAGCAGAACCTAATCCAACAGAAATTGCTAGTTTTAGCCAGACTATATTGGAGCATAGACCATGACCTTTATTGGTCCTTAATGTGGGAAACAACTGCCAACTAACCTTTCAGTACTTTTTGTAATGATTTTTTTTCAACTTAATTGTTTCAGAGAAAATAATACTTCCTCTGATATCATTATATCAACATTCAAATAGCACTAAGGGGATTCACTGTTCTATACTGATAACTGTGTTTTTAAATACTGAAACCACATCTTGTTAATGTAAAATATACACCATCTATATTATGTATTCCTGTGATATAATAATATAAAGGAATCACAAATGTGTTCCTTTTAGAGATCAGGATATAGATTATACAGCATCTACAATTATGAAGTTCCATACCATGAGGACTTCATCAAAACTCAAGTGTTCGAGTTTTTGATACAAGCTTTATGAAGACTTAAGTCACACACAAGCAAAAAAGATAAGCAAATGAAAAAGCTAACATTTATTAATCAAAGAAGTAAAGCAAGTCAATAATTGTCCATTGAGAAATTTATTTTATGTAAACCCAATTTATAAAGCATATTATCCGGTACATAAATATCTAGTTGAGTCCATGGTGATATATAATTATTTCCATGATAGATTTATAATGTATCATAATAGGAAAATGTTACTTTGTGTGTGTGGGGGGCGGTCTTAGGTTAAAAAAAATTTACATTCACTGTTGCTATAGGATTTTTTTTTTTTTGGAGACGGAGTCTAGCTCTGTGATCCAGGCTGGACTGCAGTGGCACAATCTCGGCTCACTGCAACTTCCACCTCTCAGGCTCAAGCAATTTTCCTGCCTCAGCCTCCAGAGTAGCTGGGACTACAGGTGCATGCCACCATGCCCAGCTACTTTTTGAATTTTAGCAGAGATGAGGTTTCACCAGGTTGCCCAGGCTGGTCTCAACTCCTGACCTCAGGTCCACCTCGGCCTCCCAAAGTGATGGGATTACAGGCGTGAACCACTGCGACCAGCCATTGCTATAGGTTTTTAAGAGAAAAGTAAAAAGAGAGCTGGCCTACTCAAGACCAATACTTATATATCTTTTAGTGTAATTGATAACCTATAAATCTTACCTAAAAATTCTATGATCGAGAGAAGTAAGCTTTTGAATGAAGGGAAAATAAGGACAATTATGGAAACATATTTGGTAACACTTTTCTTGTGTAATCGTTGACTACCTCTGAACTTCTTTAAGGAATCAATAATATTTCAAATAGTTGCATACATATCAATTTTTAAAATGTTTATATGAAGATATTTAATTTTAGTATTTTAATTATTACAGTAATGTTTCCTTTGCTTGGAGTCTTTTGCCATGAAAACCATTCTTTTGTTATCCCAGAAGACAAGTGGTTATTTTCTGAGACTCCCTCTGCTATTCTACTCCCCACCCTCTACCACCCCTGCCTGTGAATTCACTCCATTCATAGTAATGGCCACATCTCCATCTAGTGGCTTCGTAATCAATGACTACCTGGAAACCGATGACAAACACAACAAACGTGTGTGCTCTAGTAACACAATCATGATGATTCCAGAGCATTAGAAAAGAAATTGCAAAACAGTAAAGAACTAAACGCAAATGCAAGCGCCGAAACCTCTCTTTAGTAGTACTGAATACAGAACTCAGAAATTTCTTCAAAGGTTAATAATTTTGGGCTAGATAATGTAATATTAAATAAAATGAACTTAGAAACTGGAAGCACTTATTCTAAAATATTTCAATATTTTGAGAGTAAAAATCTAAAAAGTTATTTAAGTCAGATTTATTTTAAAAAGTAGAAAAATCTGAAAGGAATTAAATTTGCGTTAGCATCTTTTGTAAATAAACTGAGATAACCACCTCCAAAAATTGTCATTAGATAGTTCTCATATCATGAAGCATGTATATTTGTCTCTGCAATGACAATTTTTATGTAAAAATGATTTTTTTCATAAAGTTTTTGTATAAATATTGAAAACTAACATGTTTCATTTAGGATTAGAAATTTACATGCCATTTGAAATCAGCTATTTCCAAAACAACATTGGTCCTGAGATTTTAATAACCTAGTTTCAGGAACATTAGTATTATGGATTTAGGGAGATGGGTGATTTTCTAAAGCCAAAAACAAAAAGAAAAATTAGAGAAAGTGACTGACCATCCACACCACATGAAAACTTGCAGTAAAATGAAGATAGGAGCTGACATCATGGTACAGGCACCACTCGTTGTGCATTTAAGTTGATCCTATTAATAACGGGCAAAGTAGCAAGTACAGGAAAAGGAAAGAAAACACAGAAAAGAAGACATACAAGATGAGATTTCATGCAATTTGCTGGCAGTTAACGTGAGTCTCCATCCAGAGCAGATTCACAGTGACCATTGCAAATAAGCATTACCAAAATACTCCACTGCTAAAGAAACACAAGATATTATTAGCACACCAAGCTACTGAGCAACAGTTGTACTTTCACACACAACCCGTTTATAGGAGCTTCAATTGCTGAACATTTTTGTCTTGGTCAAATCTTTTCAATGCCTTGATCATAAGATAGAGCCTCCTAGAATAATATTTTGGGCAAGAGGGTTTTTATGTCATTTTTTCAAGTTCATCTGAATTTAATATTCCTACTGTCAAAAAATGGTGGCAAATAGTTGATGAGTGAAGCTTCTCTAACGAGTGACATGACCCTTGGCACTTCATAAGATATTCTTTGGGAAATAATTTTACATGGGCAACTTGCTGAAGGTGTAGTAGGCAGAATAACATGAGTCCTCCTATCTGGACTTTAAATGTCTTAAGGGGAAAAAAAAAAAAAAAAAAAAAACCAAAAAAACCCTTAGTGGCAATGTTGAAATACTTTCCCTAGCAAGGATCAATAATCCCTCACAGAGATAACTGGGATTGACTGGCTAATACATCTTGAATTTTTTAGTCCCCATCACTGATTTTATTTCTTTCTTTGCTCCATTTTTAATTTATATTATCTGTGAAATGTTTTATCCTTTCTGGGACAAATGCAGCTATGTATTTGAGTAGGTAAACCTCTTCTAAATAACTGTTAAAAATGCACATTAATCAATAGATGTTCTGACCTATTTTTAGAGTAAACAATTTATGAGATAATGCATTACACGTTTGGATGCTCATTGGTGTGTGCAAGCCACTTCATGCGGTGGCACACCTTGAAGAAACAGAATTGGGAAGTATCGTATTTAAAATTAGTTAAAAAGAGGTGGACAGAGATTTTTATGTGGACTTCATCTTTGAGAAGAGGTTAGTATTTCTAAAGCATAAAGCCAATGTATTACATACTGATGATGTATTACCTACCTTGTACATAATCAATACACAATAAGTCAGAATAGTATTTATTAGGGAAAGATAGATGAACTATAGGAAACGTAGTAAGCCATCTTTAAGTGACATATATTTAATATGATTTGTAATATTTTATCAAACTAACCCTGTGTAATTGACCTGGTCTAATTTCAAACACCAGAAAAAGAAATTAAATAATACAAGTCTAATATGTGATAGAATCAGAAACCATCCAAAAGAAACCAGAACTCCATAATAATAAGACAATGGCTGTATAACAGGTTTTTCAATTCACTGAAGACGAATATAACTAATAAAAATGTAATAAACTTAATTTTTATATCTTCAGGATTGGAATATAAATAGAGGCAACAAATATATCATAATTAACATTTACTATGAGTTAATTATTTATTAATCTTGAAAATCAGATTTATGACCTTGGATTATTAGTCAATTGATTGGAATTGTGTTTGAAAGCACAATTTCTGTGGGAAGGACATACAAAAGAAGCAACTGTTAAGTTTATGCTAACCATGAAAACTACTGAAATGAAAAAAATCTACCAGCAAGTATGTCATGTTAATGAGAAAAACTATGGTTAAGACATTATGTTTGAGTTAAATTCTCTCCTTGAATTCTTGTGGCCAGTGAGCATTAATTTATAGTATTTCAATCCAGTAGAAGTGTGATCTTACCAAGACATTGTTATCAAAGCAGACATCAGGCCCTTTTCGGTATCTGGGTTGCTTAACCATGTCACAAGGATTTGGACCATCAGCTAAAGAGGCTTGTTAAGGAATCTCTTGTTAGTTTTTTTTCCACATGACTAAAAATAAATACAATGCAATGTATTTCCCGAAACATGTAAGAGATAACTTATACATGATTACTCTCATCCAACACAATTCAAGTACATTGGGATTTAAAGAACTAAATTGTGAATTATCCTTTTCTGGGGCATGTGTAGCATAATTATTCTTGACATTCCAACCAAATTTTGAGTGAGGAATCCATTCTGCCTTTGCGAGGTGATCAGAGCAGTCTAATATTTTTCCTCTTTATGAGCATAAACAATGTGACAAGATTCAAAATGCATTATTTTAAGATGGTTTTCCTTTCCAGATAGCTCTGATGTCAAAGGATACAAGTCTGTTCTGCTTGTATGAGCAGTCGTGTGTCACAGGGACATGTCCCTTTGCTCTCAACCATTATGAATATTAAGTTGGTGTTCATAAGCTTTTCGCCATGAAAGATTCTGCAAAATATGATATCACAGAAAATGAGTATCTTTGTCAAAATAAATGGAAATATTTCAAAGATTCTTACATATTAAAATGAAAGACAAAATATGACATTTGAAACATAAACCATTCCAAGCACAACAGGAGTATGATTTTAGAAGAAAAAAAAGTTTCATTTATTAGTGTGAAAATATTACCTATGTCAAATGAATAAAAAATTGCAATAGATGTTTTATGTGTGACCATTTTAAAGTATTAGTTCTTATTGCAAAATAAGCACTTTTTAGTTGTTGATGCACATAGAAAAATTTCTTTACACTTACAAATAATTGTGATACTTATCACTGAAAATATGCCAAAGTTGCCTTATTTTACAGATAACACAACAGGGAATACAAAAATGTCTAGGCATCTTGCCCAAACTAAGGGCAGAGAAAAGTCCGGAACAGTGCTATTAAGCAAAGTTTCTGTGAAGATGGAAAAGTTTTTTGCACTGTCCAGTATGGTAAATACTAACCACTCAAGGGGTATTGGGCACCTAAAATGTGACAAGTGTGACTGAGGCACAAAATTTTAATTTTAATAACTGTAATTGAAATTTCGATGGCCACCTATGGGTGGTAACTACTGCACTGGACAACACAGACATGGACAGAATCAAGGGTTTTGAATTCCATCCCCTGTTTTGTCCACACCTTAAGCTGCTCTTACTTTAGTAACCAACACAGAAAATGTAAATATATATCACTAAAAAAGTAATTTCTTCATCATTATACATTTTGCAGAAAAGTGGGAATTTCTTTTTGCTCTGTTAAGCTTTGATTTCCATAAAACAAATCAAAAGGAAAGTATGATTCAATTTAATGTCTTGGTTATATTGACCTTCACTTTACAATTTAACTTACTTCTTTAAGCACACGTTGCTCTTGCTGGATGTCAATTAATAAAAGGCCAATGACTGTGAAACTCTGATGTATCCAATAAATATGCCACAATTCCATTTCCTGAGGTCCATAGCCTGATATGCTAATCTCCTCTAAACAAGATAGTCTGCTTTTTTGTGAGTTCATGCTTGACTCCTCCTCCCCTTTCTTCTCCTCTTCATATATTCTACCTCCTCCTTGGACATAGAGGTATGCTAGAGAAAGTCATAAAACATACCACGTCTACTAAAAATTCATGAGAGGTTGCTTAGCCCCTCTTGCAAAAAATTTTTTAAACTATTCTGGCACTTTCATAATCTCAGATTACCTCACCTCCTCCTATTTCTTCTTCTGCTATGGTAACATTTCTTCTAAAATAACCTGCCCTCCACCTCTAAAAACAAAGTGTCTCTACTCTGTGCTTTGTAAGCTGTGACTTGCTGCTCTCTTCTCAGGAATCTCGTGGCATTAATTATTACTTTCCCCTCAAAATCCCCATCTTGCCTTTCTCCTCTATCCTCATTACAATAAAATTAAATTCTCCATCTCTTCCCAACATTGTAAAAGATATTTTATGGATACTGACTAAACATTAACCATGACCTAAGAAAACTGTATTTTTTCCCAGTTCCTTCAAATTCAAATAAAGGTAACATTCAGTTCTTCAAGTCAGAGAAGACTAGAAGTAAAAACAAAACAAAACAAGACTTTTTTTTGTAAATCTGTTTAGTTACCATATAGAAAAATAATTCATATTTGGCTTAGATTTAGAATTACTAATATATTTAATTTTATAACTTTATATTAGAAATTTTTAATATGGGTTATTTTAGGAAAAAAGTTAAAATATCAAATTTCTCTATGTTCTGCCTAAAGAGAAAGTAATTATCTTGATCATGTAATTATTATTATAGTTGAAGAAATAACAGCTTATTAAAGTTAGAATTTTAAAAATTATAAATTTTAAAAGCCTACAGAGAAACTAAAGATCTCTGACAATTTCAACTTAAAACAATTACTCACATCTCTGGCTCCAACACAATTTTCAGTTTTTTCTGTAATGATTATAACAGTATATACAATTTCTTAATGAAATAGGACGACTCCAGAAATAAAGAAAGAAATTACCTGGAACAGTTTCCACAGTCTAATACACCACTGAATGATTTACTATCGTTATCGAAGAAATACTGGGTTTGTTCAGTAATGCAGCTCTGCTTTGACAGGGAGGCTGTAAAGTCATCATCCTCCATCTCAACTTGGGTGGGGAGAGGGGGGTAAAAACAAAGAACACCATTAGGAGGGGCCACTGTAGTCAGTCCCCTGGAGTCTTCACTTCTCACAGAGCAAAATAAATGTCTAAGACCAGGAGGCCTGGACTGGCTTGTTTACTGCTGTGTAATATCGTGGCAGCCCGTAATAGATGCCTGATAAATATCAATAGAATAAATTAATTTAAATACATGATGGTTATGAGATCAAGGCCAATGTGACCTAAGTAATTTTTAAGACATTAGGAAAGGTTGGACAAAAAGTTTCTAGCTCTAAAATTATGAGATGGGTGATCTGTTTTCTCTTTCTCACACAAATATTCTCTGAATTTGCTGAACTCAAGCATATCCCCCCAAATAATTTTTATTGTTATGACAGTGACAAGGTCTGAGCATTTACATACCTGCCTCAAGGAGTCGTGGAAAGGTCAAACTCAAGAGAAACTGCTGTAGAATAGACCTGAATTTTTCAAATAAAAAAAAAATAATAAAAATCTAGGGAAAAATGTTTTTACATGCACACATACACATACTGTTTCCCTTTATCTTTTTGGGAAGGAAAGTCTAGGAGTGTTTTTATTTAAGTATTTTTAAAATTATATAACACATTGTAACCTTTCTTGAATGTGTCAAAGAAGTCATGAAATCAGAAGTGTTCAGATCTTGTTCTGGACCAAGTGAGACACAGTGTGTTAAGAAGCCTAATAGGCAATATTATCAAGCAGAAGTGTTCACTCTAAGAAGGAGAATGTCAGTGTTTCAGCGCATAGGTTTTTACATTCATTACATCTCCTTATTTTAGCTTTTAAAACCATTCGTTTTTTGAATTCCCCCCGCCCCCAACAAAGAAACAACACTGTTTATACCATGGGTTTGAATTTGTTAACTATTTACTTTGTAATACAGAAAATATTTGTAAATATGTAACGTAACTTTCATGAAACAAAATATACATATTATATAGAGAGATATGGCACATTTCAGTTTTATAGTAACTGACAACTGAGCCAAATTTCTAGAACTGAATTTAGTTTAAAACAAGTGGGGGTGGGAGGGGATATAGGATAAAGAAAGTATTTCAGGGTCATGATGAAATTTTAAAAGCCTACTGAAATTAATATATAAAATCACATCAGAAAATACCATTTTTCAGAATAAAACAGAATTTTCTAAATCTTTCAAAAAATCTCAAAATTTTAAAATCCTAAAATCTTCTTTGCTGCTTTAATGATATCATCACTTAATTTTAGCTGGGCAAACCTCAACATCAAATGAATATTGTACATTAATCTACGTGGAATAGGGCTAACAATACAGTGTGATGATACAAAAAAAAAAAATCAGAGGGGAGAGAAGGAAGAGGGAGATCATGGATCCCAGACGTAACAGGTTTAGTTACAACTAAACAATAAGAAATGTGATCTTCCAGACTTTCCATAGTGCCACAATTGACCATTTGAATGTCTTATTTTCATAGGTTGTAGGGTCTACAGGTGAGAGATGGGGGAGGTTTGGAAGGTAGAATCGGTGAAAAGAAACAATTAGATCCATTTCAGCAACATGATGCCCCTAAAACGATACCAGTACTTGTATCAATAGTAAAGAGGTAGAAGGTTGCCATCATGCCATGAATTTGATGCATGCAGACATCCAACTTGGATACTAAAGACAATTAAATTGTAACTTCTTACAGATCAATACACCTAAAATTGGTGTAATACTTTTATAAATAATACAAATGAAAAGAATTTCAATAGATGTGTAGAGGAAAGAAGACTCTAAAGAGGTTGAAGTTTACATCCACATAACATTGTTTTCATATGAGAAACTGAATAATGGTAATTTTATAGTGTTCACTTAGAAAAAAATATCAATATTACCAATAAGTGATGCAGAGAATGAAAAAACCTTAACTCCCTTAATAAAAAATTTGAGTGTCCCCTAAATCCATATTTTCATCAGATGCTTTTCTATTTTACAACTTCTTTCATTACCAATAAAACTAAAATTTTGACCTACCAGGCAGCAGCAGTGGCCCACCAGCCAATTTGTAATATGTCTGCTATTGATGGCTATAAAATAAAATAATAAAGTCATTTCAGTAGTCTACTTGATACTGAGGACACTTGACTATCCTCTCGAGAAGAATTGATTAGACTGTGGATATTACTGACCACATATGCTGAGCGATGTCCTGCTCCTTGTTTTGGTGCAGCACCAGGCTCGCATACTGACTGATAATCATAAGATTTGTTAAAAGCATAAACTGATATATTAACCAGGTGTCTCATCAAGCTGGGATCAATCTCTCCAAAAAATCTTCCAATCTGGTGAAGAAAAAAATCATAAAGCAATGTGTACTTAAAATGTAAGTCAAAAATGAACATTGGAATCACCACTACAGTGAAAAGAAATAATACAGAGAAACTGAACTACAACCGAGGAGCTTAAAAACAAAAGCAAATGAGAAACTGTATATGACACTGTGAACAAATTAAAATGAGAGTAAGTGTTCTCATTACTCAGTGGGGCTGTGTGATGTTTTATTTGTGGAAGGAATGGACACACATTACTAAGCACTAAATCACAATCAAATGCCTCCCAGATGAATAAAACAGGGGTGGGGAATGAAGAGGTGTAAGTCAAAGGGTACAAAGAAGCAGTTATGTAGAATGCATCAGCCTAGAGATTCAATATACAACAGAGAACTGTAGTTAATAATACTGTTTTGTCTACCAGAAATTTGATGAGAGTAGATTTTAAGTCTTCTTACCATACTGCAAAAAAGGTTAACAACCTGAGATGATGGATATGTTAATTGGCTTGACTTCAGTAATCACTTAACTATGCAAATCAAAACATTTTGTTGTACATCTTAAACATATACAATAAAAAAAAGATCAAATGCCTCCCTGGGGAATGGAAAAGTAGCATAAATGAGAGAGCAGGCTGGCCTAGAAAAAGAACTTGTAGGGACTGTGATGAACTGGAATAAGTCCCATCTAAAGGGGCAATCACGAGTTAATCAGCTTCAGCCCATAAACACTGTCATCCAGAAAACAAAAAAAGCCCAGTGTTGAGATCTCTTTTGCTTTTTCCAAAAAAGAGAAGCCAGGAATACAGATTCAGAAGTGAAATTAGTTGGCATCTAATTCAAATTTGTTAAAAATCTTGTATGAGGTAAATAGCCTATGTGCTGCTAATTTGCAGATTTGAGACTAGAAATCACATCAGTTTTAACCAGCTATATATTAAATTAGATATCATCAACTGACAAATTTTGAAGTGAAAATTTTCTAAATATCTGAAAGATTAAAAAGGTCATATCATGCTAAAATTCTGAACTGTATGTTTTAATGATACCAGTACTAAAATGTAAAATCAAATAACATAAAAACTAGACTTAGCACGCCTTTCTTAATGGTTTACATAATATTAAGCATTTTACAAATTATTTTATGATAGAAACAAAACATCTCATCAATTTCTAAAACACTGAAAGAGGTTTTGTAATGTTGATCAGGGAAACACACTTTGGAAAGCCTAATTCTCTCTTATTTCAGGCACATACCTGATTAGTATAATCATCATGATTTGCCATCAAAAGAAACCCACCGTCATCCAGAATTACACAATCCATTACCTACCAAAATAAAATGAACAGTTAACACATTTTTACAAAGGTTTGGAGGTTGTATTGTCTTTACCCCATTATATGTACATGATTAGAGCAATAAAAAATAGAAAATTTTAAATGACTATCTACTCTTGAACGTATATATATGTTCATGAAATTCTGGTGAAATAAAGGCATGCATAGATTTATATCAAACCATCATGCTTGATAATCCAACACCAACCATCCATTTGAGACTGTCAATTCAGTCTGAACAAATCATAAAAGCAAATTTGAAATAATCTTTTTACCACTTTCGTGTCATCTAAATGATCCAGAAAAGTGGATAATTATTTAATAATGAATAACTGATTTAAACACATACTTAGGATTTCAACAAAAAGATATTTAAAAAAAATCATTTTAGTTATCCTGTTTCACAGACTTAAAACACGTCAGTACTATAAGACTATAATTATTTCATATTTTCAGATTGAAAATATGTAGTTGGATAATTGGAGATTTAAAAGCAAAATGCAAAACAAAAAATGTCCATGGTTAAGAAAATACTTAATTCACCCTGAAACATAGGATAAATTCCTACCTAGTTTAAAGCATGTTTTAATGTATGAAAATCAATATAATTTGTATTTAATAAAATCACAAATAAAAACATTGTTTTCAAAGTTGAGGATGTAATGCATTGCATTTTCCTAATGTGGAAGCAGCTTATTACTAAATTTTTTGCTCTTAAAACAGCTACTGCATAGTCTATGTCAAATAGATAAGTTACAAAAATCATTGAAATTATTGGCTCATAATTCCACACGAGTAGGAGTGATAAAGATGATATAAACCGCCTGTTTCCCTTGGAGATATGCAGACACACATAAGAGGACTAGAAGAAAATATCGTTTCATCATTGTTACTCAATTTTTAGAATTAGAGCATCTTCAACTTTTGAACAAAGTTCACATTTCCTTTTTCAATTTCTCAAACAGATGTGAAAGTAATACAAGACAACTTAAAACTCAATCCATGTAACTAGAACTTTATAATAAACTGAAATACTTCTGGGTTTAGTTAAAAAAATTTTTCCTATACCTGTATAATACAGTGTGAACAAATTTAGAGAAAGTGTGATAGGTGAGAGAAAACTGCATTGATAACCAATAGGGATGCTTTGGTTAGAAACTTCCTATCCAGAAATAGAGCTAAACATAAATATGTACAAAAGAATGTAACACCGTTGAGACCGAAGAGAACCATCACATTGACATGACTACTTTTTTAACCTTCCAAGGACATATACATATTTTTAAAAATTCAAGCATTTCACGTTCAAAATCAAAAGCGTATAAATTCAAATGAATATATTATTTCACATTTCCGTAGAATTTTTTAGCCTTTGATTAAAAATTCCTGCATATTTTTTGTCATCATTCTAGTCTTAGCAAGAGTAACACAGGGAAATATTGTACTCAAAAGTGATTTTAAACAGTTTTCTTACATCACTGTTTCTTTTGCAGTCACAAACTGGACCAGCACACTGAAAGACAAAAAACCGATTATTACACTTTTTTTAGCAGTTGGATTTTAATTACATTATTACCATGTTATAATTAGAAATTCTGGAATAATTTACCCAGTAGAAAAATGAGATTAAACAGTCTAGTCCATAAGAAACAGAAGTTTTATCTTTAAAATTAGAAAATGTCAATCAATATATAAACTAGCATTGCATGTTGTAACCTTGAAATACTTTTATTACATATTGACTAATTTAAACAAAAAGCTTTGAAAAAATAAGAATTCAGAATTCTGCTTCAGTGTAGTGGTACTGAGAACGTATTTGCCTTATGTTTATTTGTATAAAGACCTTATTTTTTTCCTACTGAATTTTGAAAACATTAAATATAGCATAAGAATTTTTTTAAACTATCTTACCGGATCTCTGATTGAGGTTTTGGTGAAATTCTCTATCCAGGAATTTACATCGATTTTAATTCCAACAACTGGAAAATTAATTTGAATTAATTCAAAGGCATAATTACCTGTAATACAACCTTTGTAATATGATAGTTTAATTATTTTGATAGCAAGTATCAGATTATAGTTTATTACAGAAGTTTTAGTCTTTTGTTCTTAAGAAATAATGCTAATAGCTCTTAAACTATTACATAAATTGTAATTTATATTCACAAAGAGTGTATTCATTAGCCACAACCTGACCAATTAACTAATACAATAAGCTAAATAAAAAACATTAGTGTCAGGAGAGCCTCATAAACTTGAGGTCATTCAAATGGTATATTTTAAGAGGTTTCTCTAACTCCACCAGTGCTTGCAGTAGGTGCTTAATAAATCTTTGCTGAAAGAGTGAACAGATGAATGGATGAGTAGGTGGGTTAGTAGGAGAGTGGGTGAATAAATGAATGGCTGAGAGAATAACTGATTTAGTAAGTAAATGAGCAATTGAGTGAATGAAGGAATAGGTGGATGAGTTAGTAAGTGATGGAGTGAATTAATGTAATAGATCCACTGATGGGGTAAAGCTGCCCTCAGGAGAAGGAAGGCTCAAAATACTCTCCTTTATAACTTCAAACACTGAATCATACAATCAAAAAAAACTAATAGCTTTAACCTTTTCACTTCTGATCCTCATTGATGCTTTTACTATGTTTGTTTACTTGCCTATTTTTCCAAAAAGTCGTTTTTCTATATATTTTATAGCAAGTTTTTAACTGAGCCCTACTTAATTCACTTTAACAGACACCTAGTAGAATATAGTATAATTATGCCATATTTATCTTTTCCCTCAGGGCTGGAAACTTAACTTTTTTGTACAAATATGTAACTCCTTGGCCATATAACTTTGTATGTATTTTAAAGTATTAAGAGAGACTTCTGGAGTCGGGTTGCTAACCCAACATTAAAAATTTTTATTATTATACTAAACTGATTCCATAAATTTGTCTGAGAGTATAAACATACACACAGTTTTGAAAATTTCTCAAATCTATGTAGTATCAATTTGATTTTATCCCAACTTCATAGGTAACTAGTTACATTTTATTTAATTTTTAAAGTATGCGTGCCTTTGTTGTTTGAGACCTTCTGATGACCTTGATAAACACTGCCAGTTTATAACATAAATGCCAAGTAACATTTAATTGTGGTTGTGTTTTTGTAATTAATATGTATCCTTACCTGCAGGTTTAAGAAGTTTCCCTTGAATATATATTTCTACAGCTTTGCTTACCATAATGCCCGATTCATGGGCACCAGGTCCACTTTCTAAAAAATAAATAAACAAACACCTATCAAGATGTATTGATTAATAATATTGATTTTCTGTCATTAGATACAGATGGATAGTATTTTGCTTAAAAATTCTAGCATCTATAAACTATAAAAATGTTTGTGCTCTCCTTCCTCTCTTCTTCCTTTGTATATACTAGGCTAACTGGTATATCCATGAATTGGTTTGTATTCATTGATTCGGGGGCATTAATTAGCTTGGTTACATCTGCTTTCACAACAATTATTAAAATATTAGGGAGTTCTGCTGAAGTGAAGTGGAAAGATTGATTTTGGATACATAAAACTGACTTTGTCTAAGATATATGTCACTGGCAAAACTTTGAAATTCTCTGAACTTGTTTCCCCATTTATGAAAATAAAGGTAAATAGTACCTATGTGCAAAGACGTTCAGGGATTAAATTACAAGGTTTTTGGGAAATAACTCAAAATATTTTAAAAGATAAGCTATTAATTGTGTAATTATATAATTAATACTGATAAAATGTAATTAGTCAATGAAATTCCTCTACTTTAATTCCTTAAATGTTTTTCAATACATTTTCAGTTGTAATATGAGGGATTATCTACATGTGTTTCTACTTCTTATGCATGCCTGACAGATATGCTATCTCTAAATTATTGGAAGACTGCTGTGTATGTATTTTGCCTCTTCAACTAAATGATGTTTCTTTTCTATTTTCCTAATGCCTTGCAAATACTCTGTTTTTAATGATGACTATTCTGAGTAGTTGACATAAAATGTAGTGACTTTGGGGGAAAGCAGATAGTAGCAATAATTTATTTTTAAGAAGATTGAGAAAAGCTGAATTCCAAAGCAATACTTACTGTTAAAGTAGGGAGCAGTGAAAACATAGTTATCATTATCTAGGCTCCTTTTATAGAAGCTGTCCTCATATGTCTCTGGGTTTTCTTGCCAATTTTCTCCAGCCCTAAGGAGGAAATGGCTCATCATTTGTATTCTTTAATCTATCTGATAACCTACTTTATCCTATGTGGACTTGCTGAGCTTTACAGATACGCCTACATTTCAGGTATGTCTAAAGAAGTTATGGTAATTGATAGCATAACTGATATTCATTACTGAGCAATGCATCAGCATAGCACTAAATTAAGAATCAGAAAAAGCTCCAAAAAGTCGTTTTTCTATATATTTTATAGCAAGTTTTTAACTGAGCCCTACTTAATTCACTTTAACAGACACCTAGTAGAATATAGTATAAT